GACATCCAGCAGAGCTTGGCCACTCAGTTGACTCCATCTGTGGCCAAACTCTTTCATCAGTGATACTTTATCTACAAGAGAAACACACGTTTCTGCTCACTCTTCGGAGGTCATAAGAGAAAGGACAGTGAGGTGGGAAAGGGCAGGAGCAAGCCCATTTTATAAAATAAAAGTCAATTTCTGCTGGTTCTTGAATCCATTTCTTCTTTCCTTCCAGCCTCCTAGGGAGGGTTTTTAATTCCAAAAGAAAAGCTCTCCTTGCACAATTGTAGATCCAAAATTGTCTGCTGTACCAGGAGCTACGTTAAACATTTCACATCAGGGACTTCAAGAGTTCAATCACATGTAAGCAGTGAAAAGGGTTTGCATCCCAGAGCAAAAATGTGCCCCCCATACTTGGAACAGAGAAAGGCACTGAGTCAGGCAGTTCATGAGCTCACAGAGCAGCTGAGGTGGAGAAAGTGGAAACTCCCCTGGAAGACCTGCCTTTCTAGCACTTCATTTCTCACGCATATTCCCCAGTGCGGCATTTTCAGAGCTGACATAAATCTGTGTGGCAAAGGAATTTGCAGCAGCCCTTGCCTAGGTAGCTATTTGCTACAGCCATCTTGCACCATGCAAAACAACATGTGGAACAAGGCATCATTGACAGCTGGATTTCTACCTGTTTCTTATAAGGAAATGAAGCTGCTGAAACAAAAGTTCTCCTTTGAAAAAAGAAGCCAAAGAAGAAAGGTGGGAAATGGGCAGCTAATGCCTATAATGTAGAGCCTTCCAGGAGGCTGCTCTGCAGAAGCTCTGATGGGCCTGTGTCCCTTCATGCCAACAGCCAAGCTATTCATTTGGGGAGTCAAATGGGGCCCAAGCAAACTCCAAAACCCCCTTGGCTCTGAATTCTAGCAAAGCTGTAGTCCAGGGCTTCCTCTTCAGACAAGCAGCACAGAGCCAAGGGCTCCTGGGACCTTTGGGAAATGCTGATGCACATTCAAGCCTGTTGGGGGACTGGTGTGTAGGGACTGCAGCTCCACAGCTTCTGGTGGATGTCAGCTGCAGTGTTCCACAGACAACAAGAGCTATCAGGGCTCTCAGTGATCTCTTGTGTGGCAGAGGCAGAGACACAGCTGAGGAGAGTCCATGTCAGGGCTCAGCCTTGTCTAAATGAGAAATGGATTCTTCCAGTGCTTTCACAGCTGCAGCATGAACCCCGGGATCCTTTGAGTTCAGGTTCTTTGTAACTCCTTCAACCAAATGGATGATCACCGGGCTCAAGGCATCTTCCAGGACGCCGATGATTTCTGACAGCACGTCCAGCACCTTCTGCTTCACCTTCTCGTGGCTGTCAGATATTCTCAGGACAAAATAATCAAAAATCTGGAGAGAGCAAACAACATGACTGCTGGATTACAATGTCCTTGTTTGAAGAGGGGATGTGGACATGCGCACTCAGCAATGTAAAAGATGAATCTGATCCTTTTGGACAGGTCAACACTTGCTTGCACAATTTCACTGTTTTCCTGGGGACCACTCACTGCAGTGGTTGCACAACCTCATGCTGGTTGAAAGATTTTCATCTATTTTGAAGCGGTTTGGGTGGGGACAGAATAATTCCTATGGTGTTTCCCTCCACCTGTAAATCATTAAATCAAATAAATTAATTCATTTATTAATTGAAAAATATGACCTTTGCTTTAGAAGTATGGAACCAGATATTTACAGTGCTCATTTTTCTGTACACTTGCCTCAAGTACTGAGGGCAATTTTGATATTGCCAAAACTATGGCTGGAGGAGATCTAAGTTTTCTTTAGTCTGTCTCTATCTCTGTGTCTGGAGAAGTGCAGGGCTCCGATCAACTCTTCCAGGAACCACACCATTTGTCTAACTAACACGTAGGCTTCTGAAATTTAATGTGCTGTACAGCTCTTATTAGAGCAGGTTCAGTCCCTTGACAGCCACATTATAAGGCACCATTTACTGGAGAAAGGGAAAAAGCAGCTTCTGGGAGGAGAAGGCACAGATCTGTTCTTATTCATTTTCCTCCTTTTCCAGAGAGAAGAACAGGACCCCCCAAGAAGGTTGAGCACCATCTTTCCCAAGAGGAATAGGGAATGGAAATGAGTAGCCAGACGCGTGCCTGTGCAAGACAAGATGAAGTTTACAGAAGTGTCCTCTAAAACAATCTGGGTTTAAACCAACCCAGCCTGATACTTCTCTTCTCCATCCAAACCCATGTTTTATTTAGAGAATAACTGCCATGCTTTCAGTGCTGCTATTCCCTTCACTTAACCCAGCTGGGAGTAGGAGAGAGCAGAAGCTACAGCAGCAGCAAACTCTGTCATCATTTGATGAACAGCATCAATAGGCACCTGCCCAACAAATACAGCTGGACTGAAAGAACTTGTTCTGAAGCCTGGATCTGAATGAAATTTGTCTGTGTAAGAGGGACCAGCCTGGCCCAAACTGCCAGGATGTAGTGCCAAGACACACAGAATGAACTTCACTGCTCCAGGCTTGGGGAAGGAGCTAAAGGAAAGGAACAATGAAGATACCCTACATACTTGGACAATGTTAGTGGAGATGAGCTGGGGGCGAGTTTGGCACAGCTCGAGAAGGAATGCCAGTCCTTCCAGCCGTGTCTGAAACCCCTTGGCTTCCAGGAGATCGTAAAGCTTCTGGAGCGGCTCCGTTTCTTCCACAGATGGAGGTAACGTGACCTGGGCTTTTGCACGGTGGAGGAGGCGTCCCTCAGAGGTAGACTTCACCCTGGAAAATAAAACCAAATTAGAACTTGGTGGTGATAATACCTTCAGTTAATGGAGAGCAAAACATCTCGAGGAGCATCCCTAATGATGTGATTTCCAGCTAGAAAATCATAGGCTCTGAAAAACAACGTGGACCTCATGACAATCATTACAGGAACAATCTGCGAGTAACATTCTCACCAGTGCTCACTCAGGAAAACCAAGGATGAGATGTATCTGATCTACCTTCAGATGGCTTCCCAGGCACAAAGGTCTCATTGCTTTGTGGGGAAAGAGAATTTAAACTTGCAAGTTTAAATGCCTCCTCATAGGGGACATGTGTGTCTTATAGTAAGGAAACTCATCACTCTGGAGAAGTGTCTCTACAGCAGGCATGACAATCTGTAACAGTAGCTCAGATGCCTCTGAACAGATGAACAGGGGCATATCTGAAGGATCCAGGAAATCAGTAACAGAGATAAAAACAGAAGGCAGACATCCCAGCACTATGCTAACTTTATGTTTGCTTCCCCAGAGACTAGATCCACAGCTTAACAAACCCACAGGGAACAATTCTCCTGCATCAACCTGTCTCTTCCCTGAGCATTCCAAGTTCCTAGCTATGCTACTGAGGCATGTGCTCACTCTTCTGCCACCACTGAGCATGACAGAGCTAAAGAACTCTCCTCTGTTATCACAGGAGAACAGGTACAAGTAGCTCTGCCCCTGGCAGAAAGGACAGCAAGGACCAAATTGCTGTCTTAAATTTGGACTGCAGCACAGGGGGAAATAAACCAAACATGCAGTCCATCAAGCAAACAGTGTGAAGGACAGGAATATCATAACAAAACATCCACATTGAGACACCTGTTGACCAATGTCGCTTAGGAATTGCCTTGATACTTACTACTCAAACT